TGTTTGTCGTTCAGAAGGGGAATACGACCTCCCTCCCCCTCTGGCCGTAATTCCCTTCTGACCTTCTGGAGAAGGTTGCTGCTTTCTGACTGTTCGTGATTCATCTTGTTTCATGTGTACTATGTACCTCCCGGCACCCTCCCCACCTCCCCCCCCCACGCCCTGCGCTGGACAGCAAAATTTTTGGGTTAAAGTAGGAAATTTTCTGGGAACTTCCGGAAAAACTGGTGGGAGTTGGGGAAAACTGAAGAAAATGGCAGAGTGGGGGACGTATTTTCTTCGCGACTTTTCCAGTTTCACAATGTGCTAGTTGTCCTCCCCCCTTCCGGTCGACAGCTTGATGACGAGGGAAACAGGGATTGGGGGGGGGTTGTACGGACTCGACCAAAATCCCCAACAAATGATGAGCCCTGAGTTGTACAGTCTACTGTCTTATAGCAAGGCGCATCATCATTGGGGATTTCCAACAGGGAGGGGTCGTATTTGCTAACTGAGGGGAGATGGGTAGATGAGTTTTCTTGTTGCAGGGACGCTATAAAGGGGGGGGCGTCGTATTCTCTAGTGTAGGTGTAGGGGAGGTCGTATCGGCCTTCTAGTTTTCCGAGAGTTCTGGGAGAGATTGTTAGCTTTTCTTGGTTTTTCAGTATTTCATATGTACCATGAACCCCCTCGACAGCAAAGATTTTAGGAAGAAGTGGAAAAATTTTCGTGAAATTCCGCAAACACTGGTAAGACGTTGGAGAAAATTCAGAGAAAAGGTAGGTATGAAGAGCAAGTAGGGGGGGGGGTCGCACCACCTCCCTCATCCCCTGAGAACAAAAAGGGGAGTGGTCGCACGTACTCGACCAAAATCCCCAACTAATGCTGTTCCCTGTCCAGTAGTTAGTCAATGGTATCTATGTCCCATCTGAAGGCAGAATTTCAGTAAAACGTAAGCAGGTTGCGAAGGGGGTTTGCCCGACTCCACCAATATGGCCACCATTTTGGCTAAAAATAAGAAAATATGATTTATCACGAGAATAAAATATCTTCGGAGCAACTTACGTTGCATTTGCTGCTGCCTCGGCAGGTTCTGAAATAGATGGGAATCAGAAATAAATCAGAAATAATAGCGAAACTAAAAACAAAATGAAACACAATATTCACAAAGACAAGGAGAAGATGTGATCCTAGTAATATCCTGTTAGCAAAGCAAAGCCATGATTTTGAAGGCCTGACCCTAACGGTCGTGAAATAGAAGCTGATGATTGTGTCCCGATACCGTATAGGAGCTCTTCCGGATGCCTCGGAATTACGCTCTTCTAAGACTAAAAACATGGGGAGGGGAGCTTCAAGGGCTCCCGTAGAAGTAAAACAATCGTAATGAAGATGAGGGTTTCCGCCTGAACCTACTTTGTTGTCGCTTACCTCCACAACATTTGGTGGAGAACAGGAAAAAGCAACTCGCCAGACCCAACTACCCTTACACGCTCTACCATCCGTAGCAAACAAGACTATAAGTTTTTGATGGAAAAAGCTATTTAGCCGAGCTGGCTCCAGTGGCTAAAAGTGAATACCGTATCCGTAATCGAGACCCTCGATTAGTTCCAAACAGAGGCTTGCAGCGAGTTTGTTGGACAAAAAAGTAGTAGCGCCAAAGA